GTACAAATGAAAATATAGCCTTTGTAAACTTTTGCAACCAGAAGCTGCTCTTCATATTAGTGACAAACAATAACAGTAACAAGAACTTTTTGACAAGTTTAAAGTTCCTTTAAAATACATTCAGAATATTTAAAAATAAACTACAAAAATTAATTTGATGAAGTGCAAATTAAAATATAGCTGTACCTGCAAATGTAACTGATAATGTTTTGAACTTTTAAAATATTTCATGGTAAAACCAGAAGCTGCTACTCATGTTAGTGACAAACTTTGGCATTTTTTGATGGTTTACCTTCATTTTTGCCTTCTGCTTTTCATTTTTAAAAGGTTTCCATTCTAAGATTCTTCTTTGTTGTACAAATTAAAAAAGTTGTTAAACATCTGAGTGGCGCACTACTGCTATTAGTGGTGAGAAAGTGTATTGCACCTTATTCACAACCAATGCAGTCCCACGGCCCTCTGCGGCCCAAAGTTAAAAAAAAAACTGTTATTCTTTTGAGGCCCTCAAGGTGGCGCAGCCACAGTCAGTGGGTTAAGAACCGCTGCTCTAAACTGAATGTTCTGACTGCCACAGGTTAAACACTGACTGCTCTTAAGTTCTCCAATAGGAATGTGTCCCACAATTACTTTTTTTGCCCCTTTTTTTTTTACTGAGGGTGCAATTAAACCCTGYATAGCAACAGGCAAATTTCATTAAAGAACATTAACCCTAATATCCAAGGTTTTAACAAGTAATACTAAAATATCTTGTCTAACTTCTCACCTGTCGCTCTGCAACAGGAAGAGGAGGTCCATCTTCATCTGAAGAAACAAAGAAAACACAATCAAGATCTGAGACAACCTCGTTTGAACTTGAGTTTTCGTCCTGCAGTCCAGTTAGCATGGCTGKGCAAGGATAAAACCAGGCTTTTCTCTGGGCTCAGGTGTCAGTAACGACACCCGAGGGGAATGAAATGGTTCAATCAGCAGCTCTCAGCTGAGAAACTGGAGAGAGGACGTACCAGAGGAGCAGGAGCTTATGGTCATCAGGAAGGGAGCTCAACAAATACAGAAATACATCGCAATAAAGCCATAACGTTTTTTTAAAAAGATGCTTTAATAAACTTGTGTGCTGACTGCATTTAATGCCTAACAAGACTCTTTGATTAAAAAATTGTTTATGAAGTCGTTTTAAAGTATCAGGTTTAAATGGATGTCAAATAACTGCAGGCTGGAGTTTTTCTGCAGCGTTAGACCTGGATGTGTGTGTGTGTGTGTGTGTGGGGGGGGGGGGGGGGGGGTCCTTGGCTGTCAGCAGCAAAGTGCCTCCAACTTCGACCCACAGAGCCTCACTGTTTCCTGTGTGAACCGAGACGCCGCCTCCATCAGCAACAAAAGAAAGTCCGCTACAACGCCCTCCACACATGAGCGGGACGATAAGACGAAGGCCCGTAAACCCGTCAGACAGGTTCAGATAATGCATGACCCGGGTCAGAGTGAAACCAATGATACTTCCATCAGTTTCCCACAGTTACACACCAGTAAACATGAAAAGGACAAGAGTCTGGAATCAGCTCTGTTGGAGGAAAACAGATCATTTACAAAACCAGCAGCTTTAGAAAAAATACATTTAATTTGTTAATATCTTCATTTTAAACCATTTAAGCTGCATTGATTTTCAGACTGTTCAGCTTTTCACAATAAAATATTTCCTGTAGTTTATTTTAGGGCATTTTAATGCTGTTCTTAAACAAGAACGTATGTTTCAGTTCTAATATAAACAAAAATCTGGGATCCAACTCKACTAAAGACATTTATAATTATACACAGGATGTATGTGAAGATAACAATTCTGATTTTTTAACCTATTGTTGGATTTATAAGACAATTCAGAGTAATAAACCAAACAGTGCCTGAAATATCAATTTATTGCTCAACAAAAACTGTCAGGTTTTAACAGATTTAACCAGTTTCAGATGATTATATTAAAAATCAAACCGAAAGAATAAAATAAAACTGCCCGCACAAACATTTGACAATTTCGGGCTGAACAATATCTGTCAAAAAAAAAAAGAAAGAAAGAAAGAAAAAGAAATCTCAAATACAGAAAAGCCCAACCTGGCAGCCATCAGGTGAAAATCGAACCAGTTTTCTGTGTTTCTGACTCTGACCTAATGAGAAGTCGTCTCTGCGCCCCACAGACTTCCTTCTCATTAGCTTTTGGTCACACAGTTTATTCTGGTTAATGATGGGAAACATTTCCTCCTCAAAAAGCCTGACACCCACTCTTCCTTCGYTCAAGCACACAAACACACACACACAAACTCACACACACAAAAAAACTCGCCCAACGTGGACTTCGCCTCCTGTTTCCATGGAAATAAAGACGGAGAAACCACAACATGACAGAAAGCAAAACTGGGTTCAGGAGAGTAGAGTTGATGATAAATAAAACAGATTACAAGCAGGAGTAGAATTCACAGCCATCTCACAAACTTTCATACAACTCATTTTATATTTATTAATGTCCTTTTCCTTACATTTTGTTTGTTTTTTATTCTTGCAGTAAAAATATAAACTTAATAGGTCTTCTAATTAAACACTTAACAAATATGAGCTCAAAGACAACAATTATCCAATTAATTTATWCCTAAACTTTATTCTTGTTATTTTAATTAAAGCACCTTTAAATTGCATGGAAACTGGCAGGTTAATTAGCAMAGAGAGAAGCTGGCAGCTAACGACGGTCCATATTCTGGAGCCATCCCTAGATGCCAGAAGTCCTGCTAAAATTCGCTGCTGGGGGTGATAAACAAACAAACAAACAAACAAATAAATAAATAAATAAAGCTTGTAGTGACAGTATGATGACATATGTCAGACAGCCTGGTGTTTCCTCATGAAACAGGATTTACAGAAACACTTGACAGATTTCCTGATAAATGCATCCAGATAACCAGATATTTATTGACATAATTACTGTCAAAGTACCAAAGTAGTTATAAAGTTTGCTTACTTTCATCCACATCTGTGGTGTTGTTTGCACTTTTCTCTGCATTATGAGGATGTTTACTGAAGCAAACACAGGAAAAAGCACTAAAAAKTTATAGAATTGATGAAAATGTTTCTGCTGAATCTTGTGTGGTTTGTCATTTTGACTCGCTCCAGCATGAGGTGGTTAGCTGGGCGGTGCAGCAGAACCTGGACTTTGCCTTCCTGCTGGCTTCATTTTTACTCAGTGAGTCCAGATTAGCTTCCTCCTCTGCTGTTTTCCTGCACTGATTAGAAGAAGCTGTCACACAGAGACATTCGACAACAGGCCTGAAKAAGGGCTTTAAATTTATTTCTATTTTTTTTACAGCTTCTGGTGGAGTTTGCAGACTCAGTCTGGCTCAGGTGAGGTAAAAGGAGGATGTTCTGAAAGCTTTAAAGCATCGATGCAAACTGAGCTCAGTCATCAAAACAGTTTCATGAATTTTTGTTAGATAACTGTTGATATAAATGTAGAAATGAGGGTAAAGGTCTTGTGCCAAAAAGCAGTGCTGATGAACATACTGCRTGCTGCAGGACAAGTGTTTAATTATTTACTGAGCCCTAAATAAGAGTTGAAAACAGTGACGAGTGCAAATCTGTATTAGTCAAACAATAAAAATAAACTGTGGTCTGTAACWTTAGCAAAATATCTCCAGTGGAGTCAGTCTTCCAAATATGACTTCACTGAGACCACTCAAGATTTCTTTGGTGGAAGTGGTCTTAATAAAAATAAGACTGATTGTGGAACAAAGTCTGAGGACATCTTTCCTAAACATCTGCGGAGACAAACCATGGACAACTTCCTGTTCTATGGATGGACAGATAGGGACAATCTAGGGAACATTTCTGTTACTAGAACATCAACCTAGAGCACAGATAAGGTTTTAACAAAGGGATCATTTGTGACCTTGACATTTTACCCCATGACCTTGAAATTAATCARGTTCATAGTTGACCCATGAGGTGTCCAGCTGTGCATTTAGACATTTTTATTTTTAACGGTTTAGAACTCAGACAAGAAATGTCCACAGTGAGACCAATGGCGCCATAACATATGTCCAATTCCAAGACAGAAAATCTTTTTTCTAGAATAGATAAACTTCCCATTAGGGTTMGTGTCAACATTTCAGCTGATCAGTAACAAGATTTACAAGCTGTCACTGAAATATCTGCCAACAGCAACATGTTTGTCCAAACAAAGATGTACTGAGACGCACCTCGGTAGCTGAGGTCCAGATGGCAGCAAGCTCGTAAAACTCAACATTTCAGCCTCACAGGAGCTGGCTGCAGCATCACGGCTCGCTTCACGTTACGGCGGCTGTTTCAGCTCCTGTCTGAACAGCTGATGTCAGCAGCATCCGAATGCTGCACTCAGGCTCTGGTGTTTACCGTCAGTCAGGTTTTATCTCAGCGCACACTCGTGACGAGAAAAGAAAAGCAGGAGAGGTCTCAGGAACGTCGATATGGTTCATATTTTGATCTTTCCGATCAGATCCGAAGAGGAAATGAATTTGATAACAGGGAGGTGGGATTGTTTTGGATTTTTACATATTTTACATTGAAAATGTTGCATCGGCGCTGGTATAATGTGTGAATAAATTAACAAATCCACAAAGACGGTTTTCATTAATAATGAATTTTAGCTAAAAGATTGAGTACTATTTTTCATCCGCTGTGTAAGCATGAATTAAATAAAATAAAAATAAAGTTAAACTGGCCTGTTGGTTGGTATTAATAATGCAAATTAACTGATAGAACACTAGTGAAGGGATTAGAATCACAGCTTGTTGGGATCAACAGACTAAAGGAATAAACAGTTCTGYTGATGATCCTCAGGCTGTACGACGAAGGATCCAATGTGGTTCTGGTCGTTTGGAAGTCCAGGAGATTTACCGATCACGTTCAACATTAAAGTCACTGATCCAACAAGACGTGTTCTTATCTTTACAAGTCAGAGCTTTCTGGCTGAAGTGGAGATAAAACAAAACACTGAAAGGGATCGGCAACCTTTATGACCAAAAAATAAATAAATAAAGCAATACTGAGATGCACCGAACGATGAACCTAAAATCATCTTGATCTGCTCTACCTGGTGGAACTAATCCTAAAAATCTGATTTTTCCCCCCCAGTTTATAAATGATCAGTACTAAGAAATTCAACTTTTTTTTTTACTCCATGAACGCATCTTCAGCACAGATTGTGGAAACAAGTATGTCGTTATTTTTTTGAGAATGTATATTTTTGTTTGTTTGTTTGCTGTATGACTTTGTATGGGTTATTTGTTTAAAAAAATCGTATCAGTAGGTAAGAGATTTTTTTTAAAAAATCTAATAATGTAACTCATCATTAGTTTTTGTACATTTATACATAAATACTACCAACAAAAACTAGTTTATTACATTTTGGAATGTAGGAACTAAAATAAACTTGAGTTTTATCTTCTATTTTTACATCTTAGGACAAAGGAAATTACTCTTATGGATCCTTTAGTGTTTAATGTTTTTGTTAAAATGAATTGCAGAAGCTTATATGAGTCCTAATTATATCTGTAGAAAAATAGGTTTACCTCAAATGATGATATCATACATTTAGTCTGGCTTCAAGTTATCTCTAAGCAAACTCAGGTTTCTTGGACAGCAGTAAGAACACAATGTCTTCACATGTAGAAGAGTTTTAGATTAATTTAAAAGGAGATTAAATTAACAATAGACCGCATCAAATCCTTTGGGCTTCGATTCACCTTTTGAAATCTCCAAAACTGTCCTTGAATAAAGGGGATGCTCGGGTAAAGCTCTGCTCTGAATTATTGATCATTTACCAGCATACAAGTCATCCTGGCTGGCTCTGGAAGCAAATATGATATATATGGCTACATTATGTCAACAAATACAAAACTACTTTGTGTAAAAATAAAAGCTTCATGATAGTTCAGTCTTAAAATAAAGAAGCCAAAGGTTAGGCTGTTCAGAAAGGGAAGGAAACGTGGTTTGTAGCTACTGCTTGTTCAGTTTGTTCCTGTGCGCCAAACTTTCTTGTGAAAGAAAACAAGATTTGAGGAATTTCTTGATACATTAGTAGACTTTTAAATTCCAAAATAAGGTGGTGAGCCAAACAGGAAGTGGTTTATATTAATAACAAAACTATAAAAACTGGTTTCATCCAAGCTCTGAAACAAATGACCACCACTTTACCAGAGGTGTAAATCACCAGTTTTATCATGACGTCTGTCGTGATACGATTTCAATTGGATTTCATTCGTAAGTCCGTGATCAATTTGATGCAATATCCTCCTTAGATGGGAATATGATACTGATCTACATTAAGTGTTTTTGTTTTACTTCGATTGATTAATCATTTAACCAATATATCAATATGTATTGATGTATTGTTAGACCTCTACTCTCATCCTCACTAGGGTCATAAAGGGGGCATGTGATATTTTCCAACTAGTCTATGTGTGTTTTGTGGACTTGGAGAATGTAACAGACTGTTCCTCAAGGTATGCTCCGTTAGAATTGGGGGTCCGTATATGGACCATTCAGTCTCTGTACAAATGGTTAGAAAGGTTAGAAGTCGGATCCCCTCAGGGTGAGGGTCTGAAAGGGGTCCAGTTTGGTTCCAGGCGAGACTCAGAGTAGAGCAGCTGCTTCTCCACATCAGGAGAAACCATTTGAGGAGGTTGGTCCTGAACGCCTCCATAGGGAGGAATTCCAGGGATGTCCAACYGGGAGGAGACCCCCGGGAAAACCCAGGACAACTTGGGGAGACTGCTGGGCTGACTAGGAGTCCTGGCTGTGGACAGAGATGTCTCTGGGGCCCCCTGATCAAGTTGCTGCCCTACTCCAGAACAAACAGCAGATATGGCTAAATGTTATAATTGGTCAGAAGATAAAAATAAGTTCTTGCTGCATTAAATAAAACACATATGGGAGAGTATTTAAATAGTAAGTGGGGTTTAATGTAATGTAAGAGCTAACTCTCTAAAGAAGAAAACACTGTTAATTTTTTACTTTTCCTTGTTTGTTTTGAGTGAAAGCTACAGCAGCTGGGAGCTGTCCTACCGTCGTCCCGGGGATCATTCTTTAACGTCACGGTTCCGTCCTTGTGCAGGAGGATGGAGGACGGGTCCTTCACCCGGCAGACTCTCCCGGGCGGCGGGCGGGGCACCCTGAGCCCGCTGCAGCACTGGTAGCACACCGCCCATGCCTGCTCCTCGTTGATGGGCTGCTCGTAGGACTTCAGGACCTCCTCCAGAGACAGCTCCCGGGGCTCGGCCAGGTCCCGCGTCTCTCCGCGGTCCGTGGAGGCGGTTACACAAGACTCCCCGTCCTCGGTGCTTCTGGTGGTGGATCTAGCCATGACTGCGACGCCGCGGAGCCCATGCTTCACTCCGTGAGCACCGGTGCCATCTATGAAGTGCGACGATTGGCCCGGTCTGCTRTTTCTACCGCTTTCAAATACTGCAGCGGCGCTTCGTTACGTTGTCAAGTTAGCTAAGCTAACGGAAACACTCACTTCCGGTTTTGAGGGTTTTTAAAAATAAAACCATCAACGACACGACTTTTCAAAATAAAATCTGTTTGTGGGGTGGTGTTACATTTTCGGCGAAAATACAATGTACATGACTTTGCTGACACAGCTAAAACTGAGATTTTTTTTTTTTTACTAAAGTAAAAAGAACTATGGCTAAACGACAAAAGTAGCCTCCCTGATAAAAGCTGCAAACTAAAAGTGGCTATATAAATAAAATTGGAATAAAAAAACAATAAAACAACAAAAGTAAAGGAAGTAGGCCTACGCTAAAGCAGATTTAGCTAAACAATGTGTTTGAAAAAGGACAACTAAGAGATTTAAAAAAAAAACATAACAACCTATTAAAACCGCTCGAAGCTAAAAGTAGCCAAAAACAAAAACTGACACACTAAAGCTGAAAGTAGCAAAATTCTAGCTAAAAAGCAATACATAAATTAAATTAGAATAAAAAGCTACAGAAGATAAAAGAAGCATAACCCTCAAAGCTAAAAGCAGCAAAAAGTTCACTAACAGGTAATGGGAATTTTTACTCAGAAATTGACAATACTTAGTAAAAAAACTGACATTCTGTGGAAACCACTGGCCACGAAGGTGCCACAAACTGCCAGAGGCAGTGCCACTGACAGCCACAGGCTGCCACAGGGTGCCAGTAACTGCCACAGGGTGCCAGAGGCTGCCACAGTGTGCCACTGGCTGCCACAGGGGGCCAGTAGCTGCCACAGGGTGCCACAGGGTGCCACAGGGTGCCACAGGGTGCCACAGGGTGCCAGTAGCTGCCACAGGCTGCCACAGGGTGCCAGTAACTGCCACAGGGTGCCAGAGGGTGCCACAGGGTGCCAGAGGGTGCCAGTAGCTGCCACAGGCTGCCACAGGGTGCCAGAGGGTGCCACAGGGTGCCAGTAGCTGCCACAGGCTGCCACAGGGTGCCAGAGGCTGCCACAGTGTGCCACTGGCTGCCACAGGGGGCCAGTAGCTGCCACTGGCTGCCATTGGGAGCCAGAGGGTGCCACAGGCTGCCGCAGGGGGCCAGTAGCTGCCACAGGCTGCCACAGGGTGCCAGAGGCTGCCACAGTGTGCCACTGGCTGCCACAGGGGGCCAGTAGCTGCCACTGGCTGCCATTGGGAGCCAGAGGGTGCCACAGGCTGCCGCAGGGGGCCAGTAGCTGCCAGTAACTGCCACAGGGTGCCAGAGGCTGCCACAGTGTGCCACTGGCTGCCACAGGGGGCCAGTAGCTGCCACTGGCTGCCACAGGGTGCCAGAGGGTGCCACAGGCTGCCACAGGGGGCCAGTAGCTGCCACAGGGTGCCACTGACTGTCACGAGGTGTGAGAGGCTACCCGACCATCTTCCACAACTGCTGGTGTTTTGGGGGACGCCGTTGCCAATTTTCAGCAAAACGAGTTATCATAAATATTAGAAATTCTTCATAGATGACTTTTTGATGATGATATTTAATAAACGGTGAAAGACCTGCAATATAAACTGCCTGTATTTACTTGAAATAAAAACTTTCACGTTCAAAAGCATGACAAACATTTTAAAATGTATTAATTTTTTTATGGATGAGTAATGTGAATGTTTATTCAGAAAATGACAACTAAAAATTAGTAAACACACTGGCAGTCTGTGGTCCTTGGCCAGGAAGGTGCCATGGACTGTCAGAGGGTGCCAGACTAGCTGCTGCTATTTTTTGGACTGCGGTAAAGCCGTCTCCAAAAAATAAATAAATAAAATAAATAAAAAAACATGGGATGGTTTTGCTCGCAAACATCAAGTTGTAGGCTCGCAAGGTGCTTTCAMAGTAAAAGCCTTGTCGCATTAGTTCTAAACTATGTAAATAAAAAGACTTGAATGGAGTCATGTCTTTGGAATATATCTATTTTTTGCAAAAACCTCTGCAACGTATGAACAATAAACAGACACTGTCTGCTTTTTGAAATCTTTTATTTTATTTGTTTATTTTAATTTAGAAATTTATTATTTTCATTGAAAACTACTATACACACAACAGAAAACAAAAACATGTAATCAAAAATCAAAGAAAATGAAAGACAGAAGAAGAATAAATCTTTTATTATCAGCTCCTTTTTGTCCCCCAGCATATGTTCAAATAAAAGTAAATTACAAAAAAAAAACTAAATTAAAACACCAACCCAAACAACTATTTATATGGATTCATGTGATTTTCCATATTCCTTCAGAAAACTAATGTTTMTCATTCTCTTAATGTAGCCTACACATAGATCTTAACCAAATCTACTTGTATGTTAGAATGTAATAGGTTTTTGTGAGCTTACAGATAAACAGTTAAGTATTTTAATAAATTATTGAATTTCAATTTTTCAAATATTTAAACTACAAGCATGTCTTAAAGACATAAAAACATGGATGGATATTCCAATCTCCTGTAATCACAGTTTGGCCAAACTACATCCATACAGCCAAAAAACTCCCCCTTATGGAATGCAGAGACCGCTGTTTTTTCCGTTTACCACAAGTCAATGGTTTTGCTCTGTTATTCAAATCRCTGGACAATCAGTCGGCAAAACCTTGTAGATACAGTTGATACAGGAGGCTGAGGTCTGTGAGGTCTTTTGGTAATAAACTGTCATTCATATTTAACTCTCTTTCTTCTCAGCTTTACCTGGTATCCAGCTGAACTGATGTGGGACTTTTGGAACTAGCAGATCTATGTCAAGATTCCTCTGCTCTTTAAAACTGTCAACAGTCTTGTAGCCAAGCAGTTCCATGGCCTCTTTACAAATGTCCTGAACACGTTTGACCTTGGAGAATGGCAACGTGGTCCGCCAAGCCTGAGAGACAAGGGTCGCATTTCTAGAGGTGATTTGGAAAGCCTGTTTCTTTGTGCCTTTCCCAATTCCATGAGTCGTTTTATAGATCCATTCCCCAATCTCACTGGTCATCTCTAAACCTGCAAACTCATACAGACTGTTGATTTCCTTCAGTGGGTTTAAGGTCAGATCTTCATAGCGTATCAGTTTGTAGCGGCCTTTTAAAAATGGAGGAGGTTTTAAGCTCGCTCTTTTGCTGATGCGTATGTGGCTATGGCAAATTTCCTGCAGGGCCTGATATTGGACCGTATAGAAAGGTGTACTTTTCTTCTCTAAGACAATAAAGCTGTCTGACATAAGTGCTTTGGATGCTACCTCTCTGGATCTCAACACTGCCCGAGGGTCCCGGATCAGATGAATAATGCGGAGGTCCAGATTTGGATCTTGCAAAAGTGGGTAAAGGGATTCCAGCTCAAAAAATCGCACTTCTTTTAACACCACATGACTGTATCTGTTGCAGGCCTTCTCAACCTTGAGCAAGCCCGGAGCATCACATATATTTTTACATTGTGTCACGTTGGTCACTGTGAGAGAACAGGCTGGAGGCGCACAAAGTGCCCGACTTTCAGCCCACATAAACAAGGAGGACATGTTGTAGTTTTCTGGCAGATAGGAATCCATTACTGAGAAGTCACACTGGAATATACTCCGTATCAAATCTCTTACAGCCATTCGAAGGACCCGTGCACTAGATTGTTCCATTTTAGACCACACGTGCCAGGCGGGCTCCATTAGATAGAAAACAGACGGGTGCTGACTGAAAACCTGACCCAGGAAGGACGAACCTGAACGCCACGATGAGAGCAGCAGAACATGAACTTTGCGTTGAGGCGGAACATAGTTGGAAGAACTTTGACAAATGTACCAGCTGTGGAACAAAACCACTATTGTCACCTGCAGGACTGCCAGAAAAACCATAGTCTTGAAATGGAGTCTGTAGTAGCGCCCCATGTCTGTGGGTAAATGTCAGCTTCTAGGACATCTGCCTTTTTTGTCCTTTGTTGAGCAACTCACAGTCTCTTCTGCAAAAAAGATGATAGACAAAGAGAAAAATTAGATATAAGCCCTTGAGCCAAACATGAATGTTTGACCCACCCAACCAGCCAACCACAAGTGAATAAATCAAACAACCAAGCCATTGATCAACCAGCCAACCAATTCACCAATCAACCAACTCACCAGCCAACCAACAACAAACCAATGAACCAACTAACCATCGCACCAGCAAACAACCAACAAACTAACCAACTCACAAGTAAAAAAAAAAAAAAACAATTCACAACTCAACCAATTCACAAGTAAACCAACCAGCTCGCCAGCCAACAAACTCATCAGCCAACCAACGTGTTCATGATGGTTGCCACAGTTTTTCCACAATTTTTTTAGCAATGCAGTAGTTTTACAGACACTTTTTGTTTGGCTGTGACAGTGAAGTAAACTGGTTTTCTCAGTTCTGCATCTGGATTTGTTGACCTGAAGAGAGAACTCTGAAACAGGCTGGTTGAACAGCAGAATCTTTATTTGCAGTCCAGTAGATTACAGCCAAACCAATTGTGGCCTTCTGTGCCAAATGGAAAACAGAAAAGACAGTGAGGCAGAGGAGTACAGGCCTTTTTATAGGTTAAAAGGCTGTTCCAACAGATGCACATACATTTGTCACGGTACATCTTAAGCATTCCATTCCTAATATRGTAACTTGTGCCAAGCTCTCCAGCTAGTGTAAGCCTTGCCCTAAAAGGAAAACAGTACATCGGTGCATTCTGAGAAGAGGCCTCAACTTAAGTCACTTCAACAGCCAATTATTTTTTTTCAAAACCTTCCATAATATATGTTCAGTGATTCACAATATATTTTGCTAACACAGTCATATTCCAACAGTTAAAAACAAAGTGGTTAGAAGGTCAATGGTTAGTGACTAGGTTAATTGATAACTCTAAATTGTCCCTAGGTGTGAGTGAGAGAGTGAATGGTTGTTTGTCTCGTTTGTCTGTATGTGTGGCCCTGATGGACTTGCGTCATGTCCAGGGTGTACTCGCACTGTCACTGCTGGATATGTGCACCAGTGACCCACGCGACCCTGAAAGGAAGAAGTGTGTACAGAAGATGGATGGATGGATGGATTGCATTAGTGTAAAAAAATACAACTTCAAAACTCTTCAAATACATTAGTTAACAGTTACTGCACTCCAAGTAGTCCTTTGCAATATCAATATTGCACACACTAATATTGCAATGATGATTATTTTTGTGATATATTATACTGTCCTAAACATAAGTACAAAGCCCATAACAATACAAATAATATTCAGTTCAATTCAATTCAAAAATACTTTATTGATCCCAGACGGAAATTAGGTAATAATATAGTTGGTAAAGTGGTTTGTTACTTACTTCGAACACATAAAGCTCTTAACGACCAAGCCACATTATATATTAAAGATCTTATTGTTCCATATTTTCCTAACAGAGCACTTGTAGTAGAATGGGAGGCAGAGCTTTCAGTTATYAAGCTCCTCTCTTGTGGAAACAACTTCCAGTTTCTGTCCGTGAGGTTGACACTGTCTACTTTTAAGATTAGACTGAAGACTTTCCTTTTTGATAAATCCTAGTTAGACTTAGGTTTCCCGAGTTATTCCTTAGTTCTGCTGCAATAGACTTAGACTGTTGGAGGACAAACTGAGCACATTTCCTCACTCTGCTGTTGTCTTCAGTCTCTCCTCTACATGTTTATTGTAATTATTTCTATCAATAACGTGTTTTCGTTGTCTCTTCCTGAAGAAAATACACCTGGACCAGTCCTGTGTTTGTCTGTGTCTCTTTCCTGTCC